AAAAAAAAAAAAAAAAAAAAAGTGAAAAAGGACTCTACACTGGGGCAAAATGCCAGTTACTGCATTTCCTGCTTCTCTGTGCTTTCCACAGGGTGGGGAGCTGAGAGCTCTAGGGACCTCAGTGAACATGAGGGAGGACGCATGGCAGGAGGGAGCTTGGAACAGAGCTGTCCCTGTGCGATGCTGGGCCTCCTGCAACCAACCACACGGGGAGTGGGGGTGTGTGAGGGAACCCAGACTATCAAGATCACTGGCTTGAAAGGAGGATCTGTTGCTGGCATCTTTCTGAGGCCTTGGGGAAGGTTAATAATGCCATTAACAATAACCAGGGCATTTCCAAGTCAACGTTAATGCTATTCAGAAAAGAAGTATGAGCTGCACCACCCCAGAGAAAGGACCAGCTGCCCTCCAGAGGGACGGGGCTCACAGGGACAGTCACGGCCTCTGTTCTCAGGAGACAGAAAAGAACCAACTGCCAAGGATGCTGGCAGTCACAGAAGGGCATGTCTGGGATACCTTGCACCTTCCAACGTGGACCAAGCTGGACTCTGAAGCAGAACCCACCCTGCCAAACCTGCAAGTCCTCCTGTGTGGGGAGCCAACCCACTCCTGTTATTTGTTCAGACGCCCAAGAAAGAAGGAGAGACAGCAGCTGCGATCCCGTCTTTTAGCCTCAGTGCTGTTTGTGTTCTCCCAGTAGTAATCTCAGTCTCAGGAAATAAAAACTGGGCCCCTCGTTAAAAATATGGGAGCCCTGTTCCGAGGCATCTACATTCAGAACTGCACTGGACTGAGGACGGGCAGACAGAGGGACGGGCAGACAGAGGGACGGGCAGACAGAGGGACGAATGAGGGTATGAGTAAGACAGCTCTCCTCCGTGGCAGCTGCTCGGGTCATTTCGGGGTCCTCAACACAGCCTTCCCTGGGGTCCGATACGGAGGTCACTACCCCTGACGTGTGCTCCTCTTGGGGCAGCACTGCCCCGGACAGGTGTGAATATGGGGCTGCCAGGGCAGTGTGGCCACTGCTGCTGACCCAGACTCTCACCCAATTAACAAAGGATCAAATCACACGCTCATGGAGAGTGGTGTTCAAACAATCACACTTTACAGGAAAACGAGTAGGAAATTCGCCACTGCCAGACACATGGCTCAGCTGGAGAGGATGGACCCCTCAGGGGTAGATGCTAGATCCTATTTGCTGGGGCAGGTTCCTCACTGCATTTGGCACCTTTAGAAAAAGAAATGTGACTCTAGACCTTTTGAGGAATTCAAGTCCCTCTAGTCTCCCTCCACCTCTCCTGGACAGTCCTTGGATGATGCTCCCTACGTGCGAGTGGGTGAAGGAGAAACAGGCTGAAGACACTGGCTATTATGGGGGCGAGACAACCCAGTCTCACCAGTTTAGGCTCTTTACCAGCAAGTGACAGCATCTCCCTGAACTGCAGCTGCTCACCTGGAAAGTGGGGACAGTAACAGTGTCCACCCCAGAGGATTATTCTGAAGATGAAATTATCTCTGGGCGCACAGTAGACACTTAATACACGTTTGCTATTCGTCCATTATTCTATCTGTATCATGCTTCACAATGTAAGAAAGTCGTTATGAAGGTTCCAGTTACGTACAGCGTATCAACAAAATGCTCCAACTTGGAGACAATTTATTTACATTTGCTGGCGACCACAATCGACTGCAATTGGAAAATTCTTACCTTAAAGAGATTTTAGACCTAAATGTAAGACCAGACACTATAAAAATCTTAGAGGAAAACATGGGTAGTACACTCTATGGCATAAATCACAGCAAGATCCTTTTTGACCCACCTCCTAGAGAAATGAAAATAAAAACAAAAATAAATGGGACCTAATGAAACTTAAAAGCTTTTGCACAGCAAAGGAAACCATAAACAAGACGAAAAGATGACCCTCAGAATGGGAGAAAATATTTGCAAACGAAGCAACTGACAAAGGATTAATCTCCAAAATATACAAGCAGCTCATACAGCTCAACATCAAAAAAACCATCCAATCTAAAAATGGGCAGAAGACCTAAACAGACATTTCTCCAAAGACGAAATATGGATTGCCAACAAACACATGAAGGGGGATGCTCAACATCACTAATCATTAGAGAAATGCAAATCAAAACTACAATGAGGTATCACCTCACACCAGTCAGAATGGCCATCATCAAAAAACCTACAAACAATAAATGCTGGAGAGGGTGTGGAGAAAAGGGAACCCTCCTGCACTGTTGGTGGGAATGTAAATTGATACAGCCACTATGGAGAACAGTATGGAGTTTCCTTAAAAAGCTAAAAATAGAACTACCATACGACCCAGCAATCCCACTACTGGGTATACACACTGAGAAAACCATAATTCAAAAAGAGTCATGTGGGCTTCCCCGGTGGCGCAGTGGTTAAGAATCCGCCTGCCAATGCAGGGGACATGGGTTCGAGCCCTGGTCCGGGAAGATCCCACATGCCGCGGAGCAACTAAGCCCGTGCGCCTGCGCTCTAGAGCCTGCGAGCACATCTACTGAAGCCCGTGTGCACCTCAACGAAGAGTAGCCACCACTCTCCACAATTAGAGAAAGCCCACACGTGCAGCAATGAAGACCCAATGCAGCCAAAAATAAATAAATAAAATAAATAAAAATTTATAAAAGAAAAAAAAAAGAGTCATGTACCACAATGTTCATTGCAGCTCTATTTACAACAGCCAGGACATGGAAGCAACCTAAGTGTCCATCAACAGATGAGTGGATAAAGAAGATGTGGCACATATATACAATGGAATATTACTCAGCCATAAAAAGAAACGAAATTGAGTTATTGGTAGTGAGGTGGATGGACCTAGAGTCTGTCATACAGAGTGAAGTAAGTCAGAAAGAGAAAAACAAATACCGTATGCTAACGCATATATATAGAATCTAAAATAAAAATGGTTCTCACGAACCTAGGGGCAGGACAGGAATAAAGATGCAAACGTAGAGAACGAACTTGAGGACACAGCAGGGGGAAAGGAAAGCTGGGATGAAGTGAGAGAGTGGCATGGACATATATACACTACCAAATGTAAAACAGATAGCTAGTGGGAGGCAGCCGCATAGCACAGGGAGATCAGCTCGGTGCTCTGTGACCACCTAGAGGGGTGGGATAGGGAGGGTGAGAGGGAGACGCAAGAGGGAGGGGATATGGGGATATATGTATACGTATAGCTGATTGACTTTGTTATACAGCAGAAACTAACACACCATTGTAAAGCAATTATACTCCAATAAAGGTGTTAAAAAAACGATTTTAGAAAATGTCATGGGTGAGATTTGTCTAGAAAGGATGAGCCCCCCCTTCCCCCCACTGTGAGACACCAGGACCCGGCTTTGTAAGGATGAGGCTGGTCCTGTTTGGAGTTAATCCTGGAACCTGGCCTTAAAGGGGTTCTCGAGCTGCCTGCAGTCAGAGAGGAGGAACTAGAAACGGCAGCTGAGGAGGGGGTGGGAAGGGTCATCCGGGCAGCTGAGGGGGGTGCGTCCCCCTTCCTTCGGTGTCTGCCAGGCCCCCTCTCTACGGAACGGGAACGAACCTGCTGCCAGCACAAGACCTTTTTACTTCGCGCCCGCAGGGGCACGCCACGCCCCTGCCCACCTTGGAGGTCTGGGGCCATCTTCCCACCGCTGGCCAGACTGGACAAGGCCAAGAAACTGCAGAGCGAGGCCCCTCCTCCCTCCTGTGATCAGACAGAGGCCAGCACCTGACCCACCACCTGGGGAGCCCAGGCACCCTTAGCGCTACCACCGCCAGGCCATGACCTCTGAGGACAGCTCCTGCCAGCTGCCCTCCACCAGGGTTGGATTTATGTGTCAACTTGGCTGAGCCACAGGTGCCCAGACATTTGGTCAGACATGATTCTGGGTGTGTGTGTGAGGGTGTTTCGGGATGAGAGTCACATCTGAATCAACAGACTGAGCACAGCAGACTGCCCTCCCCACGTGGGTGGGCCTCATCCAATCAGTTGACGGCCCGAATAGCACAAAAGGCTGACCCTCCCCTGAGCAAGAGGAACTCCTCCTGCCTGTCTTCAAACTGGGACACTGGCTTTTTCCTGCCTTCAGACTCGAACTGCAACCTCAGCTCTTTCTGGTTCTCGGGTCTTCAGCGTCAGACTGAACCATAGCATGAGCTCTCCTGGGCCTCCAGCTGCTGACTGCAGATCTTGGACTTCTCAGCCTCTGTAGCTGCACGAGCCAATGCCTTACTCCCATAGTAAATCAATCCTCTCTCGCTATAGATATATTACATGTCCACACATGTATATAAGTACGTGTGTGTGCAGACGTACAGCTGACCGAGGGCAATGCGCCTGACTGCCCATCAAGCTCCACCCTGCTGTCTCCTGGGCCCCAGACCACCTACACCCACACCAGCATTCCATCCACGAAGGCAGCTACCGTGTGCCGAGTTCTTATTCGTCTGAACGTGCACATACATCCCCATTCATTCCACAGAAAGTTATCTGAGATGACAGGCATCACCATCCCCATGTGACACACAGGAAAGAGAGGTACAGAAACGCACCCAGCTGCTTATGCGCACGATTCATCACCAGCCCCCGACCCCCCAGGTCCATCTGAGCCCCTGCTGTGCTGTAGCCACCGCGGCTGCGAATGCTGCTCAGGGCCCCCAAACCCCAACTCTGGTCTCCAGGTGCAACTCCGTTTCCCACCCCTCCCCTCTGGCCGACACAGAGCCCAAGGCCCCACCTCTCTGCACACGTGGACTCTGGCCCTCGTCCTCTCCTGCCGGGTCTGTTCTCTGGCCCCAGAACCTGCAGGTGGACTCCACAACGCACTTTCTGGGCCTGAGTCACCACTCAGGGACCCCTGCCACCCGTAGATGTGGCCGTGCGATGCTCGCATTCTTCCTTTCACTGTGTACCAAGTGCTTTGAGAGGCCAAACTAGACAGCGTCCGGGACAGAGGCTTGCCTGCTCGCTGCTGCTACTAAGGTGCCAGCAAGGGGCCGCGTGGCCTCAGAATGGTAAGTGGAGGAGCAGAGACAGCCAAGCTGTGCCTGGAGGCTGGGTGGCCCTGGCCAGGCAGGGAAGGGGCAAGGGGCTGGTCACGCGTAGCCGGGTCTGAACCCAGATCCTGATCTCTGCGGGACCCCCAATTCCTGAGATCTGAGAACCTCCTCAGAAACGTACTGTTGTGGGCTGAGCCGTGCCCCCCAATTCGCATGTTGAAGTCCTAACCCCAGTACCTCAGAGTGTGACCGTGCTTAGATATCAGGTCTTTAAAGAGGTATTATGTTAAAGTGAGGTCACACAGGTGGCCCTAATCTAATCTGATGGGTGTCCTTAGGAGAGGAGATCAGGACACAGACACCCACACAGAGGGAACGACCGTGTGAGGACACAGGGAGAACGTGCACCTGCACACCAAGGAGAGAGACCTCAGGACAGACCAACCCCGTGCCACCTTGATCTTGGACGTCCAGCCTCCAGACTGTGAGGGCCTCAATGTCCATAGTTTCAGCTGCCCAGTGTGCGGTCTTTGTCACAGCAGCTGGAGCTGACGACCATGCACGGCGAGCACCCCGTGTCTCCACTGCAGCGCGGTGGTCACACCCTCCGTGAAGCCACACCCTCTCCTGAGCCAGATCAGCCCCTGCTTCCAGGGGCCCGTCCACGCCAGCCCCGAAGGGTCCAAAGGGCGCAGGCTCTGCTCGGCGCCAACTGTGACAGCAAGCTGGGGGGCCCCAAGGACCAGGCGTGCTTGGCAACTGGAGGCGCTCAAGCACAGGCTGGCTAGACAGGCAGGCGGCGGTGTCAGTGCTGTGCGATCTAGGAGGGAGGGCTGGCCGAGTGGGGGATAATCACAGCGACCACTATCTTATGCTTTGTATCTGGGACTTCTGCAGAAGAGTTTGTTAGGAGGAAGGGCTCAACTGCCTAAAAACAAAATCTAAAATCATTGAACTTGAGTGATCTCTGAGGCCTCTGTCTCCAGGAGATGCTGTGATTCTTCTCCAGCAAAGAGAACAGAGAGAGACAAATTGTCACAGGCAGGAAGTGGGCCTGCTGCGGTGTCAGTGCTGTGCGATCTAGGAGGGAGGGCTGGCCGAGTGGGGGATAATCACAGCGACCACTATCTTATGCTTTGTATCTGGGACTTCTGCAGAAGAGTTTGTTAGGAGGAAGGGCTCAACTGCCTAAAAACAAAATCTAAAATCATTGAACTTGAGTGATCTCTGAGGCCTCTGTCTCCAGGAGATGCTGTGATTCTTCTCCAGCAAAGAGAACAGAGAGAGACAAATTGTCACAGGCAGGAAGTGGGCGTGCTGAACACACAGCCTGCACTCCGCCCCCTTCTAGGAGAGAAAGGAATCTGTTTCACACCTGATTATCTATTTGTAGTACAATCTTTGAGGCAGCAGACTTGTGCCTGTTCATTCTTTCATTATAAACGTACCTGGCAAGGAAATGAAACCCCAAGCTCGTCGGAAGCACCTGCACTCGGAGCTGCTCCCCTGGGGTCAGAAGGCCTGTGCACAGCGTTGGAGGGGGACCTTGGTGCTCAAGGAATCAACCCTCTTTTTGTGGGTCCAGAATTAAACACCGTGTTTTAGGTTCATGCCCGACATAAAGGGCTCTTCTGGCAGAGGAAGGGAGCAAGTGTAACACTTTACTCTCAACTCATTTTTTCCAAAGAATCCTGCTCTAAGAAAATGACCTTCCATAAGAGAGTGTACTAAAACCATTAACATCTGAATGGCAAGGGAATATTTTTCTCCCATATTGACGTATTCTGTTGCTAGGAGCTGGGTCTGGAACAGAATTCCTAAATTAAACTTTCTTGCAGACTTTTACTGAACCTGGCTCTCTAAGGGAACACACTGCATTTATCATGAGCCTCAGTGTCATTTCTGAACCTGTCATTTCTGAAGCTAGAAGACAATTAACCAGGTCAGCAAGTATATAATATAGGTATCTTACCATCATATTAAAATAAGAGTATGTTTATGAGAGGCAGCTGTGCTGTGGGGGGAAAGCACTATATTAGGAGGAAAAAACCCTAGGATTTGTTCGTTTACTAGCCATGCAACCTTGGAAGATTACTTAACACGTCTCAGCCTTGATTTTCTCATCTGTAAATTGGGACAAAATCTTTTTCCATAAGGTTGCTGTGAAGTATGTAATCAGATATCATATGTGAAATGCCTTTTAAAATATAAAATGCTATTTGGACATAGGAATCAGACAGGTTTATACTAATGCTATTTTACTGCAGAATAAGAAGCATGTCTCCCACATTTAAAAATTCTGAGACATTTGTTAAAATCTGTCATGGAATAAATAGTATGATTAGGAGGTAGAGGAACTGTTTCTACTTTCCCTGCTGGACTGTGGGAACTCTCAGCTCAGGGACCACTACAGACATGCCAGGCAGTGCTGGCCTGCAGTGGGCATTGGAATCGGCTCATAGAGGCGGTCTGGGCGGTGGGGGAGGGAGGATGTTCTTAGGTCACTAACAACGCCAATTTCCAAAGAATTCTATAAAATTCCAAAGATGTCCTGAGTAATGACAGCATCTCTGGAATTCATATACATACAGTCTCTGAAGGGATCACTTGGGTGTTTATTTTCCAGTAGGTTTGCTTAAAAAAAACAAAGCCAGGCCACCGCCTCCTGGTCACACCCTATCTTCTCCTTCAGGATGTGCATCACTGCATATCAAGGAAATTCTGAGCTTGCTCAACGTGGAATTTTCATCTTGATATAAGCACCAGCAGAAGCTGGCTCCCGTGTCAGCCAAAGTATTTAAATTATAAATTTCTGTTCCATATAAAAACAAATGGGATTGAAGAACAGAATTTCTGCTGACATGTCTTATTAGGTTCTCTGGCATCCCCAGGCTGGTTGGCAGAAACAGGGCTACACAGACAAGGAACGTGTCTCTGCCATTTAATCGAATGGGCCACCAACACAGCTGGCTTGGCAGACGCTGCTGTTTTGTGATTCTGAATAACAGGTTCTCCTCTGATGTGTACATATTTAAGGCTGAAATAACACGAAAAGTTTACAACATAATTTTAAGTGGGAAAAAAGCAGGAATCAGAGTTGAATATGATTGTATCTATGTTAAAAAAAACTAGAGAGGAGTAGTACACAAAAATGCTATTAATGGAGGTATTTAAATGGATGGTAAGCAACAGGCGATTTACTTTCTTCTTTTGATTTTACAAACTTTCTTTACTGGGTGAGTAGTGCTTTTATAACGAAAGTTCCCAAATGACAGGTGACTGTTTAGGTTGATGTGCTGCAGCCCTCAGAGCTCCTGCCCTCGGATTCCAGGGCTCCTCGGCCCCCTGTTCCCTAAATACAGCAGGACTGTTGGTTCACACGGGGAAAAAATCCCTCCTCTTGGGCGGGATGCACCTGAAAAACCCAACCTGCATGCTCTCTCTCTACAGCTTCTCCCGTTTACCTCCCAAGCCCCCAGGGCAGAGTGCTGGCTCACGCCGGACTCACCGTGACCCCTTCACGTGTTTGTGTATGAAGTCGGCATGGAAGCTCGGGACCAGAGGATCCTTCTCACCGTGCACGATTAGGGTGGGGCACTGAACCAGGGGCAGCAGGTGCCGACAGATGTTACCTGAAAGACACGGAGACTCTGCTTTCCCGTGACCCTCCTCGGGGTGGGGAGGGGCAGAGCGCGGACAAGCTGCCCCCAGCCCTTAGCATCCATCTCTACGAGACTGGCCTGGATCAGTCGGGGTCTGAGTGCCTTCCAGCTCTAACATTCTTTGGGTTTCCTTTCCTGTTTGTCTCCTGGCTTTTTTCTTTTAAGCTCTACTAGTGAACAAGCACTCTTGCCTGGTTTAAATTCATAATTCATGGAAAACAGTAGTTAAAACAAACAAAAACCCTACAAGTCTCTATATTACGTGGGGCCGTTCGCTGTCTGCCAAACAATGGTAAGCGCTTGCTACCTGAAATGCTCCTCCCTTGAAATAGTGTCTTCAGTGGGGCCCTCTGGCCCTCAAGCCTGTGTCCCTTATGGTGAAGCTACAACTGCAGCTGTGCAGAAGCTGCTGTCCATCCCTCCCGCCCCCACATCCCTGACAGAGGCCCTCACCCTGATGTGTGACAGCATTTCTAAGGCTCACATGGCACAAGTCAGGCTCCACTTCCTGTCCTGCCATTTCCTGTTGGGGATATCTTGAGGGTGCCCTAACTCCATGAGTTTTTTGGCCTCTCTCGGTTGATCAGGGACAATCATACATCCCCGGGGTGGCTGTACCGCTAAGAGGAGGCGCCCTGCTCCCAGTAGGCACCCCAGACCTAGCCCTGTCCTCCCCAGCTGCCCTGAGAAAGCTGGGGTCCCCGGGTGCTGTCCAGGCAGTGGCTCCTCCCTCCTCTTGGGTGGGGGTCACCGCCTGCTGGCCCTGGGGGGGGCCGCACCGCCACCGAGCAGCCCCGTGGCGATTAACGCCAGTGTTCCCGAGCCCACACCGCGTGTCAGGAGCCGTCCCAGTGACTCGGCACCCGTGAGCCACAGGAGGTGCAGGCTATAACTCATACGGTAGGTACAACTGCTCGTAAATCAAGTATTTTTACAATAGTAGTGGTAACTTTTTACTAAGTGCTCACCCTGTAGTTGGTACTGTACCAAAGCCGAGCGTACGTAACCTCACATGATATAACCTCCCATATAATAATACATATAAAACCTCACATATATAACCTCATGTATAGTGTATAATCTCACATATATAATCTCACATAAAATATATATATGAAGCCTCACATATATAACCTCACATAGAATATATATATAAAACCTCACGTATGTAATCTCACAGTATATAAAACCTCATATATATAACCTCACATGGTACACAAAACCTCACATACTTTATATACACGTGCGTATGTATAAAAACACCTCACCTCACGTATATAATCCTCACAACAGCTTCCTGGGGTAGTTCCCAGTACCTCCAGTTCACAGACCCAGAACTGCTGCTCGAGAGGCTAAGTGATCTGCCTGAACCCACTCAAACAGCAGCCATGTGGCAAAGCCAGAATCCACCCCTGGGCCTAACTCCAAATCTGGCGATTAATCCCTAAACTGAACTGAGCAGCCATAACCTTGAGTACAAGAAAAGGGCTCCTGTCAAAGGAATCAGTACTGAAGGGAGATAAGAAGTTTGTTAACAGCCCTGCTGTAAGACGATTCATACACTTCCAGATTCTCTGTATCATGACACTTTCTCCCTCACTTTCTCTCTTTAACAGACTGCATTTTTTAGAGTTTTAGGGTTACAGCAGGACTGAGTGGGAGGCAGAGAGCTCCCACATACCCCTAACCCCACACACGCACAACCTCCTCCATCGTCGATACCCCGTCAGACACTTCTTACAACAGATGAACCTGCACTAATGCGCCATCACCTCCCTGAGTCCGGGGTATTCCCCAGGCACACACTCTTGGTGGACACATTTGGTGGGTCTGAACAAATGCATAATGATGTGGACGCAATGATGATATTATACAGAGCATTTTCACTGTCCTAAAATTCCTCTGTGTGGCTACTCTAAGATGTGTACAGTGGGATTGCGTTGTTGTCTGGCCCATCTTTTATTCGGGTTGTTTTCTTCTTGTTCAGTTTTAAGAGTTTTTTGTATATTTGGATACAAGTCCTTTAGCAAATATTTTCTTCCAGTCTGTAGTTGTCTTTTCATTCTCCTGAAATACATTTCAAGGACCTGTTTCTATGGGTGGATACCGCATTTGAACAGGATATACTTGCTGTTTTGAACTTAAACCAAAAAAGTAACATTTCCAAATGTCCTTCTCATTATGAAAGTTTTGACAGATGACTCATTCTGGAAATGATTACTGAATAGACCAAACTGGTACCTGAATCACAACAATTTTGTAACTGAATGTGCTTCAAGATTAGATCTTACCTAGTCTCGATTCTTTTAGCAATTAGAAAAGTGAGAGACTACAAATGTAAATAGCTATAAAAAATAGACTTTAATTCAGAATTTCTCTTCAGGATGTCAATTCTTCCTGTTATTGGAAACCATGTTAATTTTTCAGATAAAGACAGGAAGACATCTGTCACGGCTAAAGTGACACAACTTAGCTCGGAACTTGGGAAAGGACTGAATACTTTCTTCCTCATACTAATTCTTCTGGGGCTGAAGGTCATGACAGAGAATCCCTCCTTTTCTGTCCTAGTACCAGAGGATGTAGTGGGGTGACACCTCTAAACGTGAAAAAGAGAAAATCTGGTGTCTGTTTTCTAATTACCCATCCTGGAATTAGAAAGTGAAGAGTATCTGAGGCTTCTGGAGAATGATTTTGCCATCATACACACAAAGGATTCAAAGGAAAAAGAACAGTCTGCTATAAGAGACTCAACAATGTGACCCTTTGTACACATGGTCTGTCTCTGGTGCAAGGCGGGTCTATCACACAAGAACTCGCATTGTACACGATCACCAGCACCCTCTGTTCACACATCACTGTGGAAGGACAGTGGGCGAGCGCATTAATCCCCGAGGAATCGTCGAGCATCTGGGGGACTCAAGCAGCCTCTCTAATGAGCAGAGGGACTGTTAAATAGCTCATGTAACCTACCATCTGGAAGATGCTTAAACTGTTTTATGCCATCCACCCACTTTTCACAGGTTCTGGAAAAGTAGTCGAACCCATAGAGGGCTTCCAGAGGCTTTCTCGTTTTCTCGCTCCATTTAGACACGTCTCGGATACCTGAAAGACAGATGTGTGGGCAAGAATGGGTTTAGTCTCAGACTAGAGTTCATCTGTAAATACTCCAAGAGCAGTGCACTCAGAGCCGCGGCACTGGCTGTCCTCCCAGCTGGGAGTGTTCCCCCAGTCTCCACGTGGCTCACGCTGGCTTCGCTCAGGTCGGCCAGGCCTTCCCCGACCCCGCCCTCCGTCACTCTGCTCAGGGCTGGTCACTTTCAGTGGCTTCTGTGTCCGTGGTGAGTGCCAAGTGCTGGGTCCCCACCAAGATGTGAGCTCTGTGTGGGGGGTTTTGCTTTGTTTTGTCCCCCACTGTGGCCCTCAGGCACAAAAGAGGGACCAGTAGATTCTTACCAAGTGAATGAAATTAGATCTAAAATTAACGCTTTCTGTTAAAGGTATAAGATAAAAGCAGACATTCCCCGAATTAGGGTCATCTGAGTGAAGATGACATCATTTATAACAGGAGTTTTTTCTGAACTGCATTTATGTACATTGAGAAATGCACACACATCATTCATTCTAATTTCTGCCACTGAAGGCACATGGGTGTAACTACTAACTACAAACTATATTACAGATGACTCTCTGTTAGGAAAGGAAATAATGGCTAAAAGCCACCTTTAAAATGAACTGCCGTCTGAGGCAGGCTGACCCTGATAGAGACAGTGCCTGCCTTTCACTTGCTCACTCTTCTGAACCCGCAGACGGACGCTCAGGGTTGAGTCCAGAGGCTGAGGACGCTGAACTGCTCTGCACAAAACTGAGAAGACTCCAGATGGGGTCGGGGGCGGGGTTGGTGGGGAGATGCAGAGAAGAAGCCAGAAAATGAGGTGGCAGGAGACCTGGGAAGAAGGAAGAGGAGAGAGGGGCTGGCACGACAACATGAAGATGGCCCACGAGAAATGCCCCAGAGATGGCTCTGCCCTTGGCCGTGTAGCAGACCACACCCTCGGGAAGGCCCTCTTGCAGTGGAACAACTAGCTCTTTCATAATATATAATTTTTGTTGCACTGCTGGAGTTTGCAGTAATTGATGGAAACTAGAGTGTGTATGTGTGTGTGTGTGTGTGTGTGTGTGTGCGCGCGTGTGTGTAAGAGAACCCTGAAAACAGAGCGAAGAGTAGTAAGACACTCAAAGGCAGGGTTGCTTCGGGGGAAGGTGACTGTGGGCTGGGGGAGGGTGGACACGGCTGAACCTGAGATGGAAATGGCCCCAACTTGGTACCATCCATAGTTCCCAAGAGCAGCAAACGGACATCCTCTCTGAAGGAAAGTATTCTCAGCTTATGCTCACTGTCTTTTTTGTTTGTTTTCAGATTAAGAGTAAGCAAATATCCACTCCTCATCAAAGATCACAAGGCGGGCTTCCCTGGTGGCACAGTGGTTGAGAGTCCGCCTGCCGATGCAGGGGACGCGGGTTCATGCCCCGGTCCTGGAAGATCCCACATGCCGCGGAGCGGCTGGGCCCGTGAGCCATGGCCGCTGAGCCTGCGCGTCCAGAGCCTGTGCTCCGCAACGGGAGAGGCCACAGCAGTGAGAGGCCCGCGTACCGCAAAAAAAAGATCACAAGGCAATCAGAATCTTTGTAAAGATAATGAAACAACTAGAAAATTGGAAGAGAAAGCTTAAGAAATTATGCAGAGCCCTACACACAGAGACACGGAGATGAATAGAAAAGGGGAGATGGAAATGCTCGGTCTACAAAGTTCAATCGGTCCCCAAAGGAGGAGGGGGAGGAGGGACGGAGGGGGAAGGTGGGGGGGGGAGGGGACTCACTGTCAGAGGGAATCAGCAGGTGACAATGTGTCTCAGAACTGATAAAAGAATCCAGACAAAAGTTAAATGTAGCCCAAATAGGATAAACAAAAAGAAATCCAACATGGGGTAGTAAAACAGCAGTGTACCAAAGAAAAAGAGAAAATCTGAAAAAGAGCCAGAGATCAGACATCTCACTCCAAAGGAAGGAAAGTCAGACCCACACAGCAGGTATGGAAGGCAGAAGACCCCAGAACAGCAGAGAAGACCTGCTTCCATTTCTATTTCTGTACTTGGCCAAACCATGTTTCGAGAGTGAGCGTGAAATAAACATTTTTAAGTAAAAGCTGAGTTGACTATTACCGGACCTGCCCTTAAAGAACTTCTGAAGAACAATTTGAGGGAGAAGAGAGAGGGCCTTAGAAGGGACATGTGAGGGGGACGGAAGAAAGGTGAGCCAAGAGCCGACAGACGCGTCGGCAAACGTAAGAGCAGCTCAATGTTACAGGTCATTTATGCCTCAACGAAAAACTCACCAAGGCAATGTGAAAATAAAACATTGTACCATTTCCTCACACTAAAATTAAATAGTTCTGTCCAGAAAGCAAAAAGACAAGTCACATACTGGTAACACAACTACTAACACAATGACTAACCAGCAAGGAGTTAGTAATAAGGTTACTAAAAACTGAAAAACAAAGTAACACCGCACACCAATAACATTGTGCTCATATCAGAAATGCTCTATGCTTGAGTTGGGTGGGGTCTCCTGGGTGCTGGTTCTGTTGTTACACTTCCTAACATACACCCTTGAAACATACTGTGTTATTTACATGTATCATATATTACACAATAAAAATTTAAAAACCAGTAAAAAGACACGAATAGGTAAAATGCAAAAGAAGAAACCCCAGTGGTGCATAAACACATGAAAAGATTCTCAATTTCATTAGTAGCAGGAAAATGCAAATTAAGACCCCCGATAAAATACCATCTTACACCCATTTTGCCAGAATTAAGAACTCTGATAGTTCCAAGTTCCTGTTGAGGATCTAAGCTAAGGTAGTGGAAGTGTAAGCTTCTTTTGCTGGAAAATGATCTGCCACCTGAAAGTGGCACGTCTGCGAGCACGGCGCAGCCACCCCAGCACGGGCATCCTCCCCAGGGAGGTCTGCTCACATGCTGAGGACGCATCCAAGGATGCTCACAGCAACACTAGGAGGAAAGAGAGGGAGGATAAAGTGCAACAGGTGTGCCCAACAGAATGCCACACAGCAACGTCACGAATGAACCTCAGAAACGGCGTTCTAAGAAAACTATGTGTAAAAAGTGAGTCAGAGAAAATGCCATATAGTACAAAGGCACCCTGTTTAGCTCAAAAACAAATAAAACTAAATTATGTGTCGTTTAGGGATAGGAATGTATGTGACAATAGTGTCTTCAAGACGGCACATGGATGGACAACTCAGGCTGGAAGCAGCACGCGGACCAGCAGTGACTGACCTTGTGCTCCTTGGTGGGTCCATTCACGTCGCAGGTGTTGCCTTATATGGGTCAAATATTATACAGTTAAACTAAAAATTCAGCTATGAAATAATCAAAATAAAAATATTATCTATTATATGTTCGATATATTTAATTTATAGAGATGCTATACATATATGCATTATTTATATAAAATTAAATATATAAAATATTTGTTTTATAAATATACATTGTTTTATAGTATATATCCTATTATATAAGATATATGTTAAAATACATATTTTAAAGTGTATTATCGTATAACACATTTAAGAAGAAGCAGAAGTAAACGAAGGGACGTCTGCCTCAGACGTTGTTTCTTAGTTCTGTTAAAGAAACATGCTGACAAATTGGGGCAATGGACGCTCAGGAACAGTGGTGCCGCAGGAGGGAAGCCACGGGGGTGGGGGGGGGCCGGGTGTCATCACCCACACGCCTGCTGTCAACTCCTGAAGAGAAACAGAGGGGCCGAAGGCTGGAGCCAGGAAAGTGGGGGAAGCCTAAGTCAGTTGCACTTTTTGCCCCAGGGACCCCCAGATCTCAGTGCACCCTCCTCTCATCCCGCGAGCCCAGTGGTCTCAATTCGGGCAGCTTGCTGGGGGCTCAGTGACTCCTGAGTTGCCACAGCTGGAATGCCTGGCAGGCAAGGAGGCCACCAGTACAGGCCCGGGTAGCAACCCCAGGCTGGAGGGGAGCACCCCTCTGGGTCCCCAGCGGTCACAGCGCTGGTCCCCTCTACCAGAGCCTCAGCCTTACACCAACAGGCAGAGGGCCAGGTCTGCCCACGGGCTGCACTCTGCCAGCCCCTGTTCCCCCGGCTCTAAGAATCCTCAGAGATAAGCTTGAAGGACAACCTTAAAAAGTGTGACTAGCAGGGCTTCCCTGGTGGCGCAGTGGTTGAGAGTTCGCCTGCCGATGCAGGGGACACGGGTTCGTGCCCCAGTCCGGGAGGATCCCACGTGCCGCGGAGCGGCTGGGTCCGTGAGCCATGGCTGCTGGGCCTGCGTGTCCGGAGCCTGTGCTCC